CCCCTTCAGTCTTCTGTCTGACCTCCGTCCACCCCTTCAGTCTTCTGTCTGACCTCCGTCCACCCCTTCAGTCTTCTGTCTGACCTCCGTCCACCCCTTCAGTCTTCTGTCTGACCTCCGTCCACCCCTTCAGTCTTCTGTCTGACCTCCGTCCACCCCTTCAGTCTTCTGTCTGACCTCCGTCCACCCCTTCCGTCTTCTGTCTGACCTCCGTCCACCCCTTCCGTCTTCTGTCTGACCTCCGTCCACCCCTTCCGTCTTCTGTCTGACCTCCGTCCTCCCCTTCAGTCTTTCACACTTGTACCGGCTCCTCCCCTCTTCCTCTGATGTCACTGCACACTGGGAGCTTCTCACAATGTGCATTAGAAGCTGCAGCAAGTCAGATAGAGCTCCGCCCCATTTCCTGGCTGGAGGACATCCAGCACTATATAGCTCTTTCCTACCGAGCCTGACTGTCCCTATCCCCACCCCTTTCATTCATTGGATTTAATGTCTTCCAATAATGGAGGCTCAGCATCACACGTGGGTGGTCTTCATGCAAATACAAATTGGGGACCGCCCACTCCTCCAGACTGAACCACCCATCAAGGCATTTTGATATCTGCATAACTTTTCCCAGGAGCCCGCCCACTGCTTGCATCAGGGCTCCTGGGGAGTACCGAGTACCAGTAATGTTTTCAGGAAGCTATGTACAGCACCCTCACCCGGTCCTTATACCATGGAGGAACTACAAGTCTCAGCATCCCCTGCTCTACTACATCAGAGATCTACCCTGAAGGGGGAGGAGCCGTGTGTGTTCTTACCTGGGGCTGGGCGGAGCACATGCCGTTTCCAACACCTGAGTCTTCTTGGCATCCAGAGACTGGAACTCGGCAATCAGAGCCTCCAGATCCTCCTGGGGGGGGGGGGGGGGGCAAAGAGACATTCAATGATGCAAAATACAGAGTCACATTTTTATACCTCACAATCCTGTATACTGCAATGTCTATGTCATGGGGCTGCCGGTCATGTGACGTCCTCATGTAGTTCATTCAGTATCAAGTATCAACTGTCACCTGTACTATGGCGTCACATAGGGGACTCTTCAGCCTCCTTGTGACAGCAATAAAGAAAAAAAAAAACTGCTTTTTAGCTTTCAATAGGAAAGGAAAATAATTATAACTAGGGCTGCAACAACTAATCGACATAATCGATTATAATCGATTATTGAAAAAGTTGTCAACTTTTTCAATAATCGATTAATCGGCTTCCGATCAGTTGGCCCTGTTCACGGCTCCACACACGCTGCGCGCCACACCTCCAAATCGGCTAACTAATCGATTTTGAAAATAATCGTTAGCTGCAGCTCTAATTATAACATTGCTTTCCTATTTTGAATTATTGGATCCACAGTGGGGAGGCTTTCGTCACTTCCTGTCCTGGTGACACCTGTATAAGAAACAGACGGTGCGGCTGTCACTGGGACAGGAAGGGGCAGAGAGATTTCCCATCACTTCCTGTCAGGAAGTGAGAACTAATCTCCCGAATAAAGTCACCAACAGCAATAAAATCAGAGAGGGGCTCTATGATTGGGGAGGTAAGTGATAACATGATAACCTGCATGAAGGGAACAGCCTGGTCTCTGGGTGGGGACCCCCTTTAATTACACACCAATAAGCGGTCTCAGAGGAGCCCCCCCAAAGATGAGCCGCCCAAGGCCAGCGCTCTGTCCACCCTCTAGGCTCACCTCCTCCTTCTTGGACCTCTTGGAGACTTTCTTCTCCATCTTGGCGGCCGTCTTTTCCGCCCCCTTCACCTTCTTCTCCTTCTTCCCTTTCTTCCCCATGGTTCAGCTCCTCCACACCGGGGTGCACGGGGCCCAGGATGACGTCAGCGTTGTGCGACAAGAGGTCCGGGAGATGACATCACGGCCATGCGGACTGGTCACGTGATCGCCGTGCACTTATACAATGTAGCTCGGCTCTGTGTACCGTATGTGCTGGAGTATAGCGGCATTGAAGGTGGCTTGTGTACCGTACTGTGTGTAAAAGGAGGTCATTGCGCTATGAGGAGGAGCCCGTGTACCGTATATAATAGAGGAGCTGGTCACTGAGCCCCCAAGAGAGGGCGGGGCTGTGTCTTTTAAAGGGGGAATTAACCCCTATGAATTTTTTTGCCAGTTTCCTTTTAGCTGCTTTTTTGGGTTATAGCAGTAAATAAAATAACACACTCCGCAAATCCAGAAGTGTCCGGTAGGGATCTGTCACTCCACTTTTGCACACCTGGCCCCGCATTGCCATCCTTCTCTCTGATGTCATCAAGAAGGGGTGTTATCTCTTCGGCACGTCATCAGGAGGCGGCTGCAAAAAGGAAACTCCGCCCCCTGATGACGCACTGCAGTGCATGTACACTTTCAGTTGGTAGACCCAAAGCCTCCTGGGATGCATGAGATGAGTATCCCCGGAGAGTGCTGCGCCATAGTCTATGTCAGCTTTAAAGTGTTCAGTAACGGAGATAATTTTTTGTTTATTTTGACTCGACGCATGTGGCTGACTATAAGGAACTTGGTCACTGACCCGCCCCTTCCTGCTTGTAGCAAGTCATAAGGGGAGAGGCCGCAGCAGACGTGTCTATAGGTAATAAACGCTCCACCGAACATGGGAGTGCCTATCTGATGACAGGTCCACTTTAATCTTAGGTGGGACAGACAAGCTGCTGTATTGATCACACTAAGCTCCTCCCCCTTCAGAGCTCTGGCAGTAATGGCACAGGCTATAAGGTGACAGCCGATATCTGCTTATTAGCTATGGTAACCCCCAAAAAACTTTTAGGGCGGGGTCTCATGAATGGTCACATTCTAATTTGACCTGACAAATTATTTTGGGGTGGGGCCTCCGAAATGGGATGTGGTCTAAAGAACAAAGAAAGGATTTTAGGGTGGGGTCTCATGAATGGTGAAAATTTAATTTTGGGACGGGGCCCCATTTGGAGTGTGGATTAACTGTTTTGGATGACAGAAATGTCTTTTCACAGTCTTGCTGCACTTTGTGTGCCAATATATTGCATTTATGGGCAAAAGTCTGTGGACCCCTCACCCCTACAGGAGCTTGATGGGCATCTCATTCCAAACCCATTGGCATTAATATGGAGTTGCCCCTCCCCCATGACTGGTAATATAGAGTTGCCATTCCCCATGGTGATAATGTTGAGTTGCCCCTCCCCCCCCCCCCCCGCTTTCAAATATGGGT